TATGATATAAAGGAAACCAAAACAAAATACCTTTAGTTTATATATTATTCTGATTGTCATGGTTGACCTGAAGCGGAAACGTATATACTACTTACGGCTTTATATGTCTCTGTCTGAAGACAGGTAATACAATATTCAATATTAATTCTGATAATTCATATATTTAACAACCGGATCACGCTTAGCCTTTTATATAAGAAGTTTCATAGGTTCTAAATTTTAGTAATCACAGGTTCGTTAGACGAGAGCAACTGTTTAGACTATACACCAAAGTCGTATATATTGTAATATAACGTCTCTGGTTAAGAATAATGCTCTATTTTTTTTCTCTCTTTACTTTATACAGTTTTGATAACTGACATACGGATGCACATTATCTTTCTGAAATGGTTAAGTTCGCTTTAAATGAATAAAGAAACAAGATATTTCGAAAATTTCGTTCACTTTAAACACATAAGTGTACGTAACTTAAATGGTATTTTTTCTAATGAAAGCCTTTGTGGAGATCATTGTCATTATCACTCGAAGTTTCAACAACCCGGGAGCTTACATTGCTGTTTTAGGAAGTTAACAGGAGTACCTCGGATACCAGATGTGTAACTCATTAGTGTATTCATGCAAAAGATACATTGTTGAAATGTAAATATACATTGTTGAAATTCATACATTCCGATGACGTCACGTTGTTGACTGACAGGACGGCTGGATTGTGTGTTCATTTACATACGTTTACTTTGATGACATAAATGGACGCGTTTTATGTAAAGAAAAAGGCTATAAATATAAGGATTAACTTTCTATTCAATTTAGGTTATCGGGTGATAACTACAATGGAACCCGGGTAAATTATTTTTTCTTTATCACCCGATAACCTAAACTAAATAGAAAGTTCAACCTTAAATATTATAACATGAAACATTAAATCAGAAGGGATATTCTTACGACAGTACAGGAAAGATAAAGTTCCATTTAATTGAAATTATATCAGTAATGATTAAAAAAACACCAAAATATGAATAAAATACATTTATGTTAAATACAATAGAAATTAAAAGCTGAGAGGACAGGTGATCGGGAATCTCCTTACTAAGAGGATTATATAAATCACAAAACTATTAACAACATAAAAAACGATTGAAAGGTATATGAAGCAAAATAGGAACGTAAACTGTCTTAACATATATATATATATACAGTGGTTCGTTTATGAACATTTACCTCGGACCGAACGGAGCCGGGGGATATAGTTTACGTAATATAAGTTGTATACGACATCGGGACGTACTTATCATTCGTCATTAAATATCGTTAATATTGAGAGTTCATATTGTGTCTTTGATTATTATATGAGTGATCAGAGACGTATATACTGGCTTCATGTGTCCCTGGAGTGATGTATCAAAGCACCAGTTCAGCAATACGGTAAAAGTTATGCATTATTCTCAAATGGTCGTTCATTTCGATCCTAACCCTGGCCGTAGTACAAAATAAGCATTATTTCCTTGGTCTTTATTTATTTCATTCGAAGTAAATATAAGTGTACTATCGACCTGTGTTATTATATCGTTTTGATTACGGAATTAGAGCAACCGTCGTTGCATAGCTATACCGACAACACGGCCAGCAAGGCAGGGACTATAGACTGCCTCACCTGTACGGGCTTCGCCGGAGCGCGGCTACATCAAAGGGAATACCGCTGTGCGAGTGAGCGGGACAACGACTTAATTTTCGGGGGCCAACGACCAGTTTTCGGGAACAAAGGCACAATCTTATTGAATTGTTATGTTCCTGAAAATTGGTTGTTGTCCCTGAAAATTGGTTGTTGTTCCTGAAAACTGGTCCATGTCCCGATAACTTGGATATGGTTTTTAAATTTAAATGGTGCTCCGCTAATTTGGAGAGTGTTTCCGTAATTTGGGCCATGCAAATATGATTTAGATTGTACATCATTAAGTTAGCCATTCATAGATTATTTAGCTGGTACGTCATTAAGTTCGGTCATGAATTTATGATTTAGATTGTGTTTTGTAAAATTCAATGCTAATTGAAGTTTACTGGTATAATAAGGTAGATTAAGTCGTAGAATTGATTTTTTCGCTCTTAAGTGATTCTCAGTGTATGTGTCCATTGCCGAGTTATTATATGACGAGTAGTAAGAGAGAGTTCCCGAGTATTAATTGCTAACTATTTCTGTATAATACTTATAATTTACGTACACATACCGTAGACACCACGTATACAGGTGTACAGGTTAGAGTATAAAGGAGGTATGAGCTATATACTGGCTGCTTAGTGATATACCTGAATGGTCACACACATAAGCAGTGCTTTAAATTCAGATCACACACTTGTGTATATAAATACTTCGGATCGTACCAGTGCTCGTATGTACGATGGCCGACATCAGCCTGACAAAAAAACGTTACTTAAACAGAAATGACCAAACTATGTTTTTTGTCAATGACAAAAACCCGTATTAACATGAAATTTGGAGTTAAATGTATGGAAGCGTAAACTTGGTTTCATCTAGATTCTTTTATAGTTCAGTTCCGGGTCAGAGCCACAAGAAACATATGTACGCGCGGTTATTGCCTTACTGTCGTTATGGGGATATTATCCCGAAATCGACATCACAACTGTTAATGTTAATGTTGTTGTCATGGTACAATTATATCTAGTAAACACTTAGATGATATTGTATATCAACACATCATGCTTCTTCCTTCTCCGTTCTTTGCTCCAGTTTAATCAAGAGACCAGTTTTCGAGCGCAATACCCCTGACAGTATCGGCATGTGATCAGTATTCGGAACCACACGAGATCTAAAAACATAAATGATAACTTAAACAATTATACGACAAATATGCAGTCTTGGATAGTTTTAATATTGGATCATTTGCTCAAATGTTCTATGTATTTTTATTTTGGAAGCGTGCAAAATAATTGGAATTGGAGTATTTTGCATGAAAACAAAGAAAACATAAGTATATATATATATGTTATATATACATGTATGCTACGTGAGTACAGACAATTAAACTTAACAAAACTCGTATTGGTTATATCAGTGTTGGTTTTAAATGACATTAATTTTAATAGGGAATAATACAGTCATGCCTTTTTCAATATTACACTCAGTATCAACCCGAGACTCCAATATCAGCCAGAGGGTTGACCAATATCAGCCTGAGGGCTGATACTGGTCGAGGGTTGATACTGGATGTGATAAGGAAAAAGGCATGTTTTATTCTGTTTATTACATACCTACTAATAAAATACGGATTGATCTTCTATCTTTTGACATTTTTTTTCGTTTGATATTTTGAAAAACAAAAAACAAATCGAAAAGGGGTGTGATACGGGTTATGCGGGCTGATACGGAGAGGGCTGATACGGGTTTTGGGGTTTAACGACGAGGGCTGATACGGGTTTTGGGGTTTAACGGCGAGGGCTGATATGGATTAGAGCAATTGTGGCGTATCGCATATACAAAAACCCCGTATTTATTAGTAAGTATGTAATAAATGGGAATACCAATAAACTAATATATTTAACTGTGTTTTTGTTCCTTCAGCAGTTTGGTATGTTCTATACCCATCAATTATCAAATAACTTGTATTAAACATCAACATTTATCCTGGATGAGCGGTGTTATCATAGAAACTACATAGCTTTTCATTCAAGGATGCTTCAATTCTACACTGCCGGCATGTTTCAGCAACAATTATACTGACTTGTAACTATTCAACTGTTCTTTCTGCCTAAATCAATTAGACATTTTGTAGTATGGCTGGTGAGAAATAAGTAGCCTAACTAATGTGATCGCAGCTGTGACCTGTTATCCACATTCCGCTGGAAATCAAGTACATATGTAACTCAATTACATGCTTAGTGAACCAGAAACAAATTATAAACCATCGATGCAATAACTTTAAAACGCATGTTAATATTTTTGTTTTCATCTCAAAAGCTGAGAACGACATCGATCGATCAAAGTAGAAGGATTGTTTGGTGTATTAGATGAATAAAACATATAGAAAGGTGTTTTTCTAGGACGATTTAAAAAGAAAATTTTATGACAGACAACTGCACCAAGAATCGCCTGTTACGGAATGTTAATTGTGTAACACACAGATCTATAGTTCAAGTCATCTTCATAAGAGTCAGTAACTTGTTATTAGTAACAGAGGTTAACAACGTAATTTCACTAATTTTCCATGCAGGAGAGGGCATTTGAAGATTTAAATACAGACGCAGTCTCAAATCTTCTAAAAGCCATCGAACTTTAAATGGGAAAATATGCATATTCCGAAACGTTTCGTCGATTAAGATGTAAAACTTTGACTTTTACAGGGGAATGTACGCTTTAAACAGTATGTAAGCAGTGTATTGTTATGGATGTATATATCGTTAATCAGGACGGTGCTAAAATCAACAAAACTAACTTCAAAAAGCTCAAACAAACAAACAAACAAACCAGCTGTGTAAGTGTTATTAACAACAAACGGATTTTATTACCATCAATTAATCTTCAGCATGGATATAGTCCATATCTTCCTTATCCAGTTTTTAATCCAATTACTAATGGATGGGAATGCTGGTGACCCAGGAATGTCATTGCCTGCAACAAACATACGATGTACATCGCCATTCATTTCGTTGTTTGATATTTGATTTTTGCAATGTCAGAATGCGTGTATCCGTTACTCCAACGGTGAAGTGTTACGTTACAGCAAATCCCATCTGTGAAGTGTTACGTTACAGCAAATCCCATCTGTGAAGTGTTACGTTACAGCAAATCCCATCTGTGAAGTGTTACGTTACAGCAAATCCCATCTGTGAAGTGTTACGTTACAGCAAATCCCATCTGTGAAGTGTTACGTTACAGCAAATCCCATCTGTGAAGTGTTACGTTACAGCAAATCCCATCTGTGAAGTGTTACGTTACAGCAAATCCCATCTGTGAAGTGTTACGTTACAGCAAATCCCATCTGGAATGTTATCTCTATCGTATGAGAAACTGCTTGGAATATTCTGGAACTGCTAAGTCAGACATCTACATGAGGAGAAACAGAACTGATGAGGTAATATCTTATGCTAAATTTTCTACCATTATCGAGATAGGATAATTCAATCTGATGAAGGGGATAGTTTCTAATCCAGATGCTGATGGAACTATTCGATTTTGTAGAAATGTGGAATTGGCAAGGCAGTACTAAGTATAATCTATCAAAACATATATTACGGAAGTGTTTTATGTGCTTTACAAGGTTGATTCAGTTGGCATCCACATTTAACAGTAATGCTATCTTCGGTGTACATTTCAAATCGATCGATTAACCAACCAAAAAAATCATAAATCATAAAATTTATTTATGAAAGGTTTTAATTGAAATTTTGATTGCAATAAGACGTTATAATCTTGTTGATTTATCAAATTTTGTTCCTACTTACACAAGATATCATTCATTAAATCATGACATGGAAGCTGATGAGTGATGTTGGCTACTGATGGGAACTGCTGGCCAGCTAGAGTATTCTTTCTAGCTTGACAGAATAATATTGTCGTAGGTTTAGATAGTAATGGTTGTATGTCCAGTACAGTGTTTGTAAACGGTTAATGAACGATAAAGTACCATGTAATATATAAAAAAAAAAAAAAAAAAAGATTTTTTTTTTAGTTTTCTGGCAAATTTTGTAAACTTGGAAATCATCACATCTGAGTAGGTAGATATATGAGTAAGCACTATTATTTTGGTTACAGTGTAATTTTCGAAAAGTGCTTCTTACACGTTCTGTCCAAATTCGGTATTGTAAAAGTTTCAAATTATCTATACGCTAAAATGATATTTATAGCAGTTAAACTATAGCATAACTAGATTTCATTGATTTTTTTTTTTTTTTTTTTTTTTTTTTTTTTTTTTTTTTTTTTTTTTTTTTTTTTTTTTTTTTTTTTTTTTTTTTTTTTTTTTTTTTTTTTTTTTTTTTTTTTTTTTTTTTTTTTTTTTTTTTTTTTTTTTTTTTTTTTTTTTTTTTTTTTTTTTTTTTTTTTTTTTTTTTTTTTTTTTTTTTTTTTTTTTTTTTTTTTTTTTTTTTTTTTTTTTTTTTTTTTTTTTTTTTTTTTTTTTTTTTTTTTTTTTTTTTTTTTTTTTTTTTTTTTTTTTTTTTTTTTTTTTTTTTTTTTTTATTAATTATTATTTAAGCAAACTTAATGTCTTTGCACTCAGGTGACTTAAACACTTGTTTATCTCAAATTATTAGGTTGTTTAGTTTGCAATATTTTAATCCTGTTAACAGAAAAAAATATTTAAGGACGTAAATAATCATTGGGTCAAGTAATTGAACACATAATTTCTACGGTTACTGATAAATTAAAAAATGGATATATTTCAAGTATGACACTGCAGAGGTATGTACTGTGATTAACGAATTAAGACATCATTTCTGTGACTATTTGGTGTCTGTCATACAGTTGTTGGATCACACAATGTTATGCGATGTGTGGTGTTCACACGAAGTTTACAGGGTGTTTGCACCATGTGCAGACGATAACACGTACGAAGTTTACAGGGTGTTTGCACCAGGTGCAGACGGTAACACGTACGAAGAGTGTGCGGGATTTATGCAAAGAGGGGAATAGCTTAAAAATAAAAACGGTATATTTATCTCTGAAAACATATTTACAGTATATCTTATTTAGTCATAATATCTGCAGGTTTTTCTTAATCGGCTTACAGCGAGATGTATGCATACAGACTGTAACACGAGGGAGGGATCGTGTCCGATAGCGTTATCGGACAGGTCCAAATATTTACCTATTCTGTAACCTGGGAGTGTTACACATTCATGAAAATCATGCAAGTATTCAACACATGTTTAATGCTAAATTACAATCACATCATTGTATTTGCGTTTCATACATTTCAACCATAAAGGAAACATAACTGTTACATTGTATTTATCAGACATTTCGTACTGTTAACGAAGTAACTAACGAGGTAAGGATATAATACATTAAATTTGCTGAAAGTATAATTAATTTTCTGTTTTCTATTTTTCATCAATCGATGTAGAGAACTGGAGACACCTGTTCCACTACTGGATGTCCAACTTCTAATGTCTGCGTCAATATCCAACTAGGGGTGATATGTCTTCCGGATTTAGGTAAGCTGTGCTTACCATTCCATCTTCCTATATATAGATGATATGTTGTCCCGTATTTAATATTTATATGCCGGGTGTTTATCTTGACCTGAGCTGAATATATAAGGTGGGGGAATTTGGCAATATGATATAAAGTAACTGACGAAAAACTTAAGTCTGTATTTTGATGAAAAATGAACGTAGCACACATATATGGGAATGAACCTTCCAGTTGGTAAATATATAAAGTAAGCCTAAAATGAATAAGACCACATCACACACCTGGTAAATAGATGAAGTAAGGCAAAAAAAGAATTAGACCGCATCATACAGCTGGTAAATAGATAGAGTAAGCCAAAAATGAATTAGACCGCATCATACAACTGGTAAATAGATAAAGTTTGCCAAAAATGATTTAAACCGCATCATACAGCTGGTAAATAGATAAAGTAAGCCAACAATGAATTCAACCGAATCATACAGCTGGTAAAAAGAAAGAATAGGCCAAAAATGAATAAGACCGCATCATACAGCTGGTAAATAGATAGAGTAAGCCAAAAATGAATGAGCCCGCATCATACAGCTGGTAAATAGATAGATTATGCCAAAAATGAATGAGACCGCATCATACAGCTGGTAAATAGATAGAGTAAGACAAAAATGAATTAGACCACGTCATACAGCTGGTTAAACAGATAGAGTAAGCCAAAAATGAATGAGACCGCATCATACAGCTGGTAAATAGATAGAGTAAGCCAAAAATTAATTAAACCGCATCATATAGCTGGTAAATAGATAGAGTAAGCCAAAAATGAGATAAACTGCATCATACAGCTGGTAAATAGATAGAGTAAGCCAAAAATGAATAAGACCGCATCTTTCAGCTGGTAAATAGATAGAGTAAGCCAAAAACGAATAAGACCGCATCATACAGCTGGTAAATAGATAAAGTAAGCAAAAAATGAGATAAACTGCATCATACAATGCAACTGCTAAATAGATAGAGTAAGCCAAAAATAAATTAGACCGCATCATACAGCTGGTAAATAGATAAAGTAAGCCAAAAATGAGATAAACTGCATCATACAATGCAACTGCTAAATAGATAGAGTAAGCAAAAAATAAATTAGACCGATTATACAGCTGGTAAATAGATAGAGTAAGCCAAAAATGAATAAGACCGCATCATACAGCTGGTAAATAGACAGAGTAAGCCAAAAATGAATTAGACCGCATTTTACAGCTGGTAAATAGATAGAGTAAGCCAAAAATGAATTAGACCACGTCATACAGCTGGTAAATAGATAGAGTAAGCCAAAAATGAATGAGACCGCATCATACAGCTGGTAAATAGATAAAGTAAGCCAAAAATGAGATAAACTGCATCATACAATGCAACTGCTAAATAGATAAAGTAAGCCAAAAATGAATTAAACCGCATCACACAGCTGGTGAGTTTAAAAAACAGACCCTATCACGTCTAGTGTTATGTGGTATGCATTAATGGTGCTTTGATTTTGTAAAAAGAGGTTCTGTAAACAAGAGGCATCTTGTTTTGGACACAAATTTCAGATGCACGTTTGCATCATAGTTTGTAAAAAAATCTTGTAACAATAAGTCAAATCGATATTTGGACGTATTTTAAGGCTCAGAAAAGCAGATCCGTAACTTACGAAAGCACAATCAATGTGATAATCGATTTGTTTTTCCATTTCTTTTTTGATCGTGTATGAACGTACATATTACCATGGAACAGGTATAGCATATTCTGTCTAAACTGCATAAACAAACTTAAATCATATGTCTACTAGCTGTGTGAAATCTTATGTATTTCTGTTACAGAGTTCCTTGTTTTATCTGATCTAGTTTGTTTACAGTCCAAAAACAACATACAAAGTACAACGCTACTTTTGTCGACATCGATGGCGTATATTTCGGCTTATATCCATCCCCTGTCATCAAACGAGTCGCTCGACAACGATGTCAAGCTTTTGCAAGACGACTGGCAGCTCTAGATACGCCGAGGAAACGCCGAATCATACATAGAGCAACGAGGAATCATGATGGTTAGATTTCCAATATTCACGTATCTTGTTAGGTGGTATACAGTGACTGGAGATCATTTTGTTACTGTCATTGTCTTGGTACATTTATGTAAAGGAAACAGATTCATATGTTATGAATGTTGGTTGCCGTCGACAGCATAACTAATCTAAATAGTGTATTTGCGGGAAATGTATTATGAGTTGTTCCTGACCGACACAGGAAATGCTTTATAGACCTCATTTTAACTTTGTAACTATTTGTAAATAGTCGTCTTTCAACAAATCAAATTAAAATATATTCGTACTGCTAATACTCTATGAGAAATATCTAATTAATAATATAAACATTACAGACACTCCGCAGACCTGGTCGATAGGCGCATACCGTTCTAACGACGGAACATGGTTGGGGAACAATGGTGAAGAGGTTGATCACATAAACAGCGAGGATGGCGGTAATTGTGGTGGCTTACACAGCGGGTACATTAACAGTTATATTTGTGCCACACATGTCGGCCCATTCGTTTGTGAAATGATGTGAAAATGCAGATTCTTATACTGTAAAAATCAGTAAAACTAAAGTGTTTGTAGTGTAATAGGTATTTCGAAAGATATGAATAGACAATGAGGAAAAGGAGACATTTTTGCATACCATTACAGTAGCTATAGCTATTATAGGTATGTAGCGCCCAGATTTATGTCTTGTGTATCGAAAGCAACAAATCAATATTTAAGCATTGAATTTTGTTTGTCTGGTATTTATGATCTTTTTGAATGACACAGCTTTGCAAGCAAACAACATAATGCGCGCTATTCAAATAGATCATAAATACCATACAAAAACAGTTCAATACTTATATTTATGTTTTCTCTGCCTCGTATGTTCTTTTTTAACTTATAATTATTATTTAAAATAAAAATGCCCGCCTTATCGACAGTCCACACAATTTCGTTCAATAGTTTGAACAGCGTATTGTCGAGGGAGTTATTGTTGTAAGTTAATTCGAACTTTTCTCTTTGCTCATTTTGTGAAGAATCCAGACGTAAATTTATTTGTTGATTGTTGATTCTTCACAAAATGAGCAAAGAGGAAAGTTCGAATTAACTTACAAAAATAACTCCCTCGTGGAGGGCAAGGTCGGATTCACGTTGGAAAGTTTCTCCAGTTGGATTAAAATATAGCAGATTCATTCAATATTACTAGTGAAACATCACTGGCTGACAGTAGCAGTTGTTACTGGAAGCAGCCATATTGTTAGTAAATGAGAGGAACTGAAACTCTTCAGTTCAAGATTAGTTTCGGCATTTTATTGGAGAGTATTTCCCATGATGAACTCATATTAGGTATTAGAATAAATCATTCCAATAAAAAGAATGTGGGGTATTAGATTTACGTTTATTTTTTGGTTAAGGTTTGTTATAATTTAACACAGCTGTATACATTAAACACTGGTTGGAGAGTATTCCAAGTGTTTCTAAGCCATCACCAGCGTTACAATTAACGCTTGGGGTTATATCTGAAGGTTTTGACAGGAAACTTAAAGACAACTAGTTTTTCTTTTACAAACGGTGCCTTAAACAGTCAGTCTGCGTTTGTCTATATCATGTGAGTAGGTGTGCTGTCTCCGATGTGTGTTATGTGTTAGTGTCAGTGAGTATGCGTAGAGATTTTAGCATTTACCTGTTCTTCATTGGGAAATTAATTAGTTTCTTTTCCATTTAGATTCGACTACATATGAATATTGATGTTAATATTCGGTAGAGTGATCTGCTGTATTTGTCTTATTTGTAAGATATTATTGTTGGGGATGATAGGTTTATGTATAATTTGATGCAAGTTATAGTCTTGAAGTGTTCGACAGGATGTTTAATATTGATAGTTGGTTCACATTGCTAAAAGCTAGAGACTCTATGAGAGGCGAGTTTAAGATTGCCTTAGGTTTATGAATTATGAGCTTGATATATTCTCATACATCTACCAAAACAGCTATCCTTATAGAATTTATCATCTGTATGTTTTATAGAATTCTGAGATAGAGATCGAGTTGAGATATTTTGCATTTCATATACATGTATTTCATTTGTCTATTTAATAAATCGCCGTGAAAGTTCATGTCTGAATGGTAGTTGTCTCTTAGTAAAGTTGATAGAATTAAGCCAAGGTGCAAAGGTTGTTGAATTTGGGTCGTCCGTATCTTGGTGGTAGGCGGGATGCTAACATCGACCCATTCTATGGTGATGGTAACCACGCTACCAAATATTATTATCAAAACGATTTTTGATGCGGAACCTTGTTCACTTGACCGTCACAGTATTAAGGATCTGCTGTTTTGGAAAGTCAAGGTTTAATAATGACTACATTTTAACCATACCCTATTTGAAAGAGGAGAATATGAGAAAACAACCAAATATACAGATAACTATATGTTCATTTAATGCAAGGGTCGGTAAAACATACGAATTTTACGTAATATGTAGTTTGATGACATTTATCATTTCGATTGTAAGCAAAACAAAGTCGTTCAATTTGTTCGCATGATCGATAAAACATATTACTCCCTGAATTCATCAAACAGACATTCATTAATCAGACCAAGCTAAGATATCGATCAGAGACTTCCAACACAGCATTTAAAAGCACTTTATAAGCCATGTTCAATCTGCAGACTAAAAACTCCATTACTTATTTACGTGTGAGTGTTCCTCAAAGATATTCCCAGCATATTCCATCGCTTGTTTAATCAACAAGATATACATTCCTTATTCGTCATGATGTGTCCCGTCGTGTGTTTTCTGAATCATGAAATGAATTCAAGACACCAATAGATATCGATTTAGCAAGTGTTATGGCCGTCATCTTAATCTTCTTGGGAAACATTCTATTTTCTGTACGGTATGAAGGCAGATGTTTCCTGTAATAGTCATTCCTGTTCCTTGTTATTTCGATATAAATATAACGGTTGTTACCTAACTGACGCGATATAACTGTTGTTTCGATATAAATATAACGGTTGTTACCTAACTGAGGCGATATAACTGTTGTTTCGATATAAATATAACGGTTGTTACCTAACTGACGCAATATAACTGTTGTTTCGATATCAATATAACGGTTGTTACCTAACCGACGCAATATAACTGTTGTGTCGATATCAATACAACAGATGCTACCTAACAGACGCAATATAACTGTTGTTTCGATATCAATACAACGGTTGTTACCTAACTGACGCGATATATCTGTTGTAGCGATATCAACATAACGGTTGTTACCTATCTGAGGCGATATATCTGTTGTACCGATATCAAGATTACGGTTATCATCTAACTGAAGCGATAAAACTGTTGTTCCGATATCAATATAACGGTGGTTACTTAACTGACGCGATATACATGTTGTTACGATATCATTATAACAGATGCTACCTAACTGACGCGATATAAATGTTGTTTCGATATCAAGATTACGGTTGTTATCTAACTGACGCAATATAACTGTTGTTCCGATATCATTATAACAGATGTTACCTAACTGACGCGATATAACTGTTGTATTACGGCAATCATCTAACTGATGCGATAAACCTGTTGTTCCGATATCAATATAACGGTTGTTACTTAACTGACGCGATATACATGTTGTTCCGATATCATCTGTTGTAGCGATATCAACATAACGGTTGTTACCTATCTGAGGCGATATATCTGTTGTACCGATATCAAGATTACGGTTATCATCTAACTGAAGCGATAAAACTGTTGTTTCGAAATCAATTTAACGATTGTTGCCTATATGAGGCGATATATCTATTGAATCGATATCAAGATTACGGTTGTTATCTAACTGACGCAATATAACCGTTGTTCCGATATCATTATAACAGGTGTTACCTAACTGACGCAATATACCTGTTGTTTCGATATCAATATAACAGATGTTAACTAACTGACGCACTAAACTGGTGTTTCGATATCAATATAACGGTTGTTACCTATCTGAGGCGATATATCTGTTGTACCGATATCAAGATTACGGTTATCATCTAACTGAAGCGATAAAACTGTTGTTTCGAAGTCAATTTAACGATTGTTGCCTATATGAGACGATATATCTATTGAAGCGATATCAAGATTACGGTTGTTATCTAACTGCCGCGATATAACTGTTGTTTTGATATCAATATAACGGTTGTTACTTAACTGACGCGATATACATGTTGTTCCGATATCATCTGTTGTAGCGATATCAACATAACGGTTGTTACCTATCTGAGGCGATATATCTGTTGTACCGATATCAAGATTACGGTTATCATCTAACTGAAGCGATAAAGCTGTTGTTCCGATATCAATATAACGGTGGTTCCTTAACTGACGCGATATCCATGTTGTTACGATATCATTATAACAGATGCTACCTATCTGACGCGATATAAATGTTGTTTCGATATCATTAGAACAGATGTTACCTAACTGGCACGATATAACTGATGTTTCGATCTCAATATAACGGTTGTTTCCTAACTGAAGCGATAAAACTGTTGTTTCGAAATCAATTTAACGATTGTTGCCTCTATGAGGCGATATATCTATTGAATCGATATCAAGATTACGGTTGTTATCTAACTGACGCAATATAACCGTTGTTCCGATATCATTATAACAGGTGTTACCTAACTGACGCAATATACCTGTTGTTTCGATATCAATATAACAGATGTTACCTAACTGACGCACTAAACTGTTGTTTCGATATCAATATAACGGTGGTTACCTAACTGACGCGATATAACTGTTGTTATGATATCATTATAACAGATGTTACCTAACTGACGCGATATAACTGTTGTTTCGATATCAATATAACGGTTGTTACCTAACTGATACGATATAACTGTTGTTTCGATATCAATATAACGGGTTTAACCTGTCTGAGGCGATATATCTGTTGTACCGATATCAAGATTACGGTTATCATCTAACTGAAGCGATAAAACTGTTGTTCCGATATCAATATAACGTTGGTTACCTAACTGACGCGATATACATGTTGTTCCGATATCATTATAACAGATGTTACCTAACTGACGCAATATAACTGTTGTTTCGATATCAATATAACGAATGTTACCTAACTGAAGCGATATAACTGTTGTTTCGATATCAATATAACGGTTGTTACCTAACTGACGCGATATAACTGTTGTTTTGATATCAATATAACGGTTGTTACCTATCTGAGGCGATATAACTGTTGTTCCGATATCATTATAACAGATGTTAACTTACTGACGCGATATAACTGTTGTTTCGATATCAATATAACGGTTGTTACCTAACTGATGCAATATAACTGTTGTTTTGATATCAATATAACGGTTGTTACCTATCTGAGGTGACATATTTGTTGTAGAGATATCAATATTACGGTTATCATCTAACTGATGCGATAAAACTGTTGTTCCGATATCAATACAACGGTGGTTACCTAACTGACGCGATATAACTGTTGTTCTGATATCATTATAACAGATGTTACCTAACTGACGCGATATAACTGTTGTTTCGATATCAATATAACGAATGTTACCTAACTGAAGCGATATAACTGTTGTTTCGATATCAATATAACGGTTTTACCTATCTGAGGCGATATATCTGTTGTAGCGATATCAAGAGTACGGTTGTTATCTAACTGACGCTATATAACTGTTGTTCCGATATCAATATAAGGCTTGCTATCTAACTGACGCGATATAACTGTTGTTCCCATGTCAATATAACAATTGTTATCTATCTGACGCGATATGACTGTTTTTCCGATATCAAAATAACGGTATTTATCCTACTGACGCAATATAACCTGGATTTGACCTTGAGTGACTTAGTGAGGTAGAAGACGAAAACCGTGAACTTATAGACCTTGCACAAACTTTCCTGGAATCCCCATGTCATATTTTGCCTTGTTTAATTTCCGTGCACCTTTTATCATTTTTGAATTCGAATTACTATTATATTACAGTTTACGGGTGACATATCAAATTATATCAACTTGATGAAATTCGTATCTTTAACACTGTTACATATATCCGAGGTTAAATTTATCACAGTGCAAAGTTATCATTTTTTGGTATCGACTTATCAGAATACATTTTTCTATTCACTTTTTATTCACAACAGCAGACTTTATATGTAGAAGAGGTGAAGGCGGAATAAGTGTTTTTTGAGCACCGCGTTGCTGCATATACCGAGATATTTAACAACACGAATTATCACATTCATGTAAGCCAGTCTTTCCAAAAATAGCAGAAAACGGAAGAATCGTGGTGAGTAGCTCATTCAAAATGACGCGCAACCTGGTTGTCAAGCGTGACCCTATAATAAAGTGCCGACAAAAATACGTTATTAAACTCCGGTATTTTCACACGTGCTTTCCACTCGTGAAATATATCGGTATTCTGTCATATCCGTGAAAAAATATATGGTAGTAAACGGCAATCAATTAAATATCCCGTATTCATTGACACTTTGGTTATTTAAGAAGTCGTTTATAGCAATATAGCCAAATTGCCCCCTTTTGACCCCGCCCTCAGCACCATGGGGGTCAGCCCCACCATTTGTACAATTTTGAATCCCCACCATCTAGGGATGCTTTCAGTCAACCATGGTTGACATCCATATCTTAGCTCCAGAGAAGAAGTCGCTTAAAGCAATATAGCCAAATAATCCTTATTGGCCCCGCCCCTCAGTCCCCTGGGGGTCAGCCCCACAATTTGTACAATTTTGAATCCCTGCCTCCCATGAATGCTTTTGATTAGATATGATTGATATCCAGTGCATAGTTCTACAGAAGAAGTTGTTTGTAATAATAATAAGCAAAATTCATAAGCTTTATTATAACATCAACATCCTATTGTGTTTGATTTTATGGCATACTTTTATAATTTTGTAAATTATTTCGACAACACCTACATGTATCATTATGGTACTTGATTAAAAACGGGTTTCACAGGCAGCGAAGATGAACTGGAGTCGAAAAGTATCCTAAGTATATATAAAAATTGTGAACAAATGTACCACTATGCTTTCATGAACATATACAAATGTATATACTTGAACGCGTTCATATCTAAATTGATTGATCTTATGCAAGATGCTAAGTTACTTCATTTATCATATGCATGTACTTGTCTGAAGTTAATTCGATTTGCCTTATTCCTAATTATATTAAAATTCTAAACAACATTGTACGCCACAATAATGTAAAATATGTATCATATGACCACCTCTAAATACCAAAGGACAACACCAGCATCATGTATACGTTTCATGGGCGTCATGGTTTTAGTTAGTAAAAAAATTAGTAACGACGCTGATGACGAAATTACATTATTTTGAGCAAAATAGAACGCACTGGATACATTGATTTAGAAATGCAAACACAACACAAAAGATTCTTTACAGATACGAATATCTTTTGAACTCAGTCTCTCAATTTCTAATCAGAAAAACATAGATTTGTTCCGTATTAATGGTGAAGATGATGAAATGCTTCACGTAGTCATTTCCTCTATTAAGGACTCATTAATAATAGTAAAAGTCAAACGAATGAAAGTCCATGTCGAAAGTGTGTTTCCACATTTTGGCCTTTAACTTCACCGATAAGTCATTGAAGGATGAAACAGCTTCATGGTGTAGTACGATATGTTTTTAGCAAGCTGGATATATTCACAAGTTTATAGATGCAATGACATGTACGTTCATCCTTCCGAAACAAATAGAAATACGGCAACACGGGAACAATTACTGTGACGTTATATATAACACGTTTTGACTTATTGTGGTGCTATTCAAATATAATGTTACATGCATTATAACCTAGGTTTAATTACTTTGTGTCCACAAGTATCAACTTTAAACCGCAATTGCTGTGAAATCACTGCCAATTATACAAATATCGATATCATAAGATATCTGCCAAATAACTGATTTAATCCACACTTGATATTATTTCCGTTGCTCCAGTTTCACCCATACGCCACTTTTGGACCGGAGAACGGCTCCCGGTTGTGGGACGGTCTCATGATCTAGATCAGGCAAGATCTTAAATCTGCAATCAAATATACTTAATATAAAAAATATAGCCCAAGTGTAAATAACTACCGGCTTAGTAGATCTGGTCATAACCCTTATTTGATTAAAAGTCTTCTAAATTTGGTTCGATTTTGTCAAAAATACAAGTTATCCTATTTCACATACAGAAGTGTAAAATCTTAACCAAAATATCTAACAGACATTTTACACCAACGTACTTATCTTTACATACTGGTTTTCGTTTATGGGGACTGTTATTAAAATGATTCTCATTTCATATTTGTTTTTATATCTCTACTTTAACCCTTCCACATTTATCTTTCTCGTCTTCTTATTACTTACCGTTTGATAATCTGTGCAATGGCCACCTTTATTTCATTCAGTGCAAAGTTTTGTCCTATGCAATTTCTGGGGAAAAAAATAAAGAAAATATCTGTACTCAAATGCCATACACAACAACAATTGTCGGCTTTAGTTTTACTACAGACTGTAAAATAAAGTTTTTCATTAACTTATTTTTTTTCAAGTGAAGCTTGTTTGTTTTATAAGGTTCATATTACTTTCCCATGCGGTTGTCTAGGACTTGTCAATCTACCGGGGTTCAAATTACCAATATATTTTCAAATGAGTTTTAGGCGTATATATTTAATATAGGTCTTTTAATACTACTTATATCATAGAATAACGCATTATATGCAATATCAAATGAGAAAGTGATATTTCCATTGCAAGGTAAGAAAATACAGGAAACACAATGCTTGCTGTGCAACATACACGCATGGTAATAGATAATCACACCATGCATTATACCATTCAAGGAATAAACATGTTAGACCCTGCACGTTGACGCAATTTTATAACTTCAAGAAACTTAGCCAAAGGTCGAGGCTGTGTCAAGTAAAGTGATCTTTATAATAACTGGACTCTTGTTCACGCGTTATAGTTTTATTCTGAACGATAAACATGCAGTGTAATTGTAAGGTGTTAGTTACCTTGGCCCGGCTGAAAACGGTACAAAACTAAAAGGATTTCTGTCTGAATCTTCGGAAAACCTGTCCGGTCGAAATGTCTGAATATAACAAACATATACATATACTAAAAGATCATATTAGCCTGAAGTCTATCATGTTTATTATGTTTCTAAAGTAAAATCATTAAGTCATACACATTGATAATATATCCGATATTATGGCATTTGAAACGCAAACTGTCTTTTCTCGATCGCATTGTTGTCTCGTTTATTGTTTTATTATTCGCAGTTTCAAAGTTGTTATACATCCCTTATCTATTCGTGTCTGTTTGACAAAAATATAGAGATAGATATCATAAAATATACCATTTGCCATTATATGGAATAGTAATAAAGATTCAACAAAGGAAAAATGACAGAAATATTCTGCTTGCTCTATTTTGCCTGATGAATATACAAAAATGTATACAAAGGTGAATAATCACAGAAATATCCATATTGTTTAAATGCGTTTGATTAATATATAGTGCGTTATAGATTTTTTTTTATAGAATCTGTAATTGAAGGTTTTTCGTCAATATTATAATTGATACTAAATAGGTAAAAACGTAACTAATTATTTAAAAAAAAAATACAAATCAAATCTTACCTCAGGATCTGTCCAGATGTCCTCGCGATGGTTGATGGACTCTATAAGAATGTTAACCTCACTATTTGCAGGAAGTGTCATTCCATCTATCGTATGCTCCATTGTAGTTATTCTAGCAATCACACCGACAGGGGCGTGTATTCTCATCGACTCCTTCAGAAACAGTGACAGCCTTGTCATTTCTTGGATATCAGACCTGAAATATAGAGGGATCAGAATCACTAAGTATCACATTGTGTTGTCATGGATACAAAGAGTCGTTAGAACATTCATTTAGTATCTGCTGTTTCGCAAGAGATGTACTTCGACGAACAATTTCATCAGCAGTACATTTCATGTCATAACGTGATAAAAATGAATTTTCAATTATTTTCCAGTAAAATAATATATCTTTTTTCCATAGTAAAGCAGAATATCGATATTTTTCTCGGGTGGTATTTTGAACGAGCAACTCAGTGAGAATCTACAGTTTTCTGTTATTATTTGGTTCAATAAGCTTGCTATTATATTACCGAATATGTGGTTATGTTAATACAATGTAACTTTGAGTGTGTAAAAAGTACTGCTTATTCCACCGTCACTTAATCTTCCGTTTGAACAAAACACAGTACAGTGAAGATATCAGTCGCTTCCACACTAATGTCTGATGTTTCACTGGTAAAAATGTAATAAATACTTCTTGCAGTTACTTTCATTGGAGATACTTTTTATTTCTCATTTCTCGAATGCCCAGACGTAAGGACTGAGTTGACGCCGTGAACAATTTGTGACATATTATCCCATGTAAACATGTTCAAAGAGTTGATATTGAAAATTGATGTGTTGCATACAATGTTTTAACAAACCTAGATTACTACATAAAGTAACACCATATTAATACTTCTATATTATTATATGATATTCTAAGATGTACACATCATTGATATCGAAACTCTAGCATTTTTAGACATATTTGCAATTGATATAAACAGAAAAAATAAGATATTTTTTGTCAACACCCTTTCCCTATTCCACTAATTAACACGATTTACCCGTACCATTCCACATTTGACTTGTCGCCGATCACCTTCTGTACTTCATCGAAGACTTTCTCTTGTTCATCCGGATATTTGGAACACAAATACAACGTCCAGCTGATAGCGGCCGCTGTGGTATCATGACCTGCAAGGTAATACTTTCATATATTACAGGGATTTAACGTAGGACCTCACTTTTATAATATATTTGCGATACTCTTTTAAATATGTATTAGCGCCGGAAAGTCTTTGAAACTCTTTGGTTTTGTTATATATACGTTAGGGTTAATTGTGTAAGTAACGTTATTTATTAAGAAATGTGCTCTTGTTGTTGATCAACAATAGGTGATGGATTTATATCAATTTACATCACGGATATTAGCATATATGTTCTACCTAACCAACTGCAAATCGTTAGTTCCCGATTCCTAGCTTTCATCCTTTGTGAGTAACATGCTGTATATTTTTTACTTGTTCAGTAGTATTAGAACATGTAAAATATAAACTATGAAATTCACAGCATAAATATTTCTATAAACATTCGTGATATATCAATACACAGTTCACTACAAAGTAGTGTCGGTATAAACATTTGTGATATATTAATATAAAGTTCAATACAATATAGGGTCGGTATAATCATTAGTGATATATCAATACACAATTCACTACAAAAAAGTGTCTGTATAACCATACGCGATATATCAATACACAATTCACTACGAAAAAGTGTCTGTACGTGATTTGTTAATACACAATTCACTACAAAAAAAGTCTGTATAACCATTCGTGTTTTATTAATATACAGTTCGCTATAAAAAAGTGATATAAGTGTCGGTGTAAACATTCGCGACATATTTTAAGTCGACATCGACTGTTTTTATATATAACTGTCAGGTTTATGTGTGATGAAATATCATACAAAATCCATCACTTAATCTATCAACTTGTAATAACTAACCGCCAAACAGGAAGGTATCGACCTCGTCCCTGACCTCACGGTCGGTCAGCCCCTCGCCCTGCTCATCTCTGGCGGTCAGCAGAATGTCCAGGAAGTCTGGTCGGCGCTTAGTTACCAAGGAATCCTCAGCCGCCTTCAAATAAATAGGAATTCGAATATATGTGTATAATAAATATAAAAGAAATCTTTCTCCAATGAAGATATTCTATCATACTGAATTTTGAATAAGAACTACTGGTTTTGAATTTGTTCCAAGACCAGCACAGATCATCAGCCTATATAATCAGCCATATCATTATTTCTCTATAACATGTTTAGGGTAACGATAGATACTCACTTAAAAATAAAATGGATATATATAGAAGATATACGGCAGTGTCAACGCTAACTAAGGATTGCCATATTGCTATTTTTCGGATGCGCGATATGGAAACCTATGCCTGGCGCGAAATAGTTTAATATCAAAACTATAAGTACAAATGTAGCTTGATTTTAATAAGCGTAAGATAACTTCATATATGTGTATGTTAACCTGTATCTGTAATATTTATTTTTCGTATGAGTGCACAGTTACAAATACAACGGAATCACACACTATTTAGTCAAAGGAAACCGACCCAAATATCGCATAATTTCATCAGTATCCTACATGAAACATATGTACAATGTACATGTACATGTTTTAAGAACGTTAGCTTTATAAACGTAGAGTTTACTGTATCTGCATGCATTTGTAGAATTGATGAAATTTAAAAATATAACGAACTTGGCAATGGTATGCTGTCTTAACAAGTGATCTGTATAAATTACATATCAGTAAAGCTTGTTATGACGATGAGAAGGATTATGTATACGTACAATAGTACTTGTTTCCTAATCGCCAGAATGAAATGTCTTTTGTAATTGTACATGTCAATTGACACGAATAAAATATGGTTAAAAAATTACAATTAAAACAGTGGATCTTTACCAAGGCTTTTCTTCGTTCTGAGATGACCATTTCATCAAAGTCATGTACATATTTTACATGCTGAAAGAATTTCTTTCCGTCAGCGGAGAGTCGAAAAAATACTTCTGGATACAGCCATGGTTTCCTGTATTGTAACACAAATCATATTTTCTGATTATCAGACAAATGATTAATATCAACATATCGGCGGGATCAATATTCGTAGTTAACATAAATGTTGTTCAATATTAAGAAATTGTATGGAAAGCTTCATTGTAAACAATGTTTTAAAATACATGGCACATTGTATATATTTGTTTATGTTTAATATGATAATAAGTTCAAAATGAACATTTCGAATGTTCTGACATTATATGTAAACACTGTAAATCACTGTATTTTAACAGTTCTTTATTTTGCAAAACATTTCCTGAGGTTTAATTCGCCAATACTTTGTGATCGAGAGGATCTGTTTCCAATACTCATATCAGTATATATGGTATTCCTATCTGTATAAAAAATGCATTGGAGTACACAAAAAGTAATCATCTGCAAAATTTAAGTCCTTTTAGTATATGATATAAATTGGCATAGGAGAGGGAGCTATGTCACCGGGACTGTACACATCGATGGTCGGCTGTGATCATCATTGTCACCAATGTTGTAAATGTGTTATATTAGCCATTGTAATCTAACATTGTGAACACATGTATACGATGTACAACTTAAATCATGGTAAGTACTTACAGCATTCGCGCACCTGCTAGAGTGGTGATATTCCTGACAGCTGTCACGTACGGATGAGTTGAACTGTATAAGAGTTGAGAGATCAAGTTATAAACAAATGTAAACCTAATGATGTGGCAAGCGCGAGCAACGCAATACACGCTACACAAACATCCTCCAATAAGGTATTTGTAGGTGTGGCCTTTCTCAGAAAAAAAAGGAACGGAAAATCCAATCTGACTTTGGTGATCCTTTAAAAAGATGTAAATGAATTTAACACACATCGACCTTTAAATTATTGCACGGATACAGAAACTGATAGACAAGTTTTTGTTTTTGTTTTGATCGTTTTTGCGTCCAACTAACAGCTTACATAAATCATTTCATTTTTTATACTTTATGAACCTATGTATTTTTGTTATATAACTGTAAGGAACTGTATGAATGCTATAATATTAGTTAATATCTATTTATTCTAAGCAAATTTATAGACATACCCTTCGGTTTGTATATTTTCATCAAATGAGAATGCGCATCTCAGCACTGTGTCCAGAGCGGCCTTCCCCGCCGGATCACTGAGCTCCACACCTTTACCCCCGGACGCAGCCTTCTCCAGGTTTGTCTTCAATGATACATATCAGAAACACAATTGTTGCAATATGTTGCCGTTTCAAGTTTTCAAACATAAATGGAAATACTATCAAGAGCGAAATGTTGCTTATTGGTTTAAAAATACTCGAACAACATTGTCATTTAAATATTAGAAAACATTACTTTAAGAAAAATTAATATCTGGAATAGTCTTACACAAGATGTTATTTCATATCGTAACGTGTATGACGTTGAGAAAAACTTGAACGAATCCTGGAAAGATCTTTAGTTGAAGTACGATCATACAGCGCCCTATGTATAGGCTTATTTTATGTTAACCACGATATATTTCAAACTATATTGATGTGGAGATACCAGAGGCAGCAATGCCTGCGTCTACTAGTATCCTATTTAATCCTATTTTGATATCAAATCCTATTAAAGCATTTTGCTCGAGGCACTTTTTATACCCTTATTGCCGAGTAGAGCGGGTCAGAACAGGTACTATACATGTAAGTGTTATTTTCCGACAAATCTGACTGATGTTCTGCTTCCTGGTTACAGATTTACGGAATTCTGTAGATTGTGTTTTAGTTAGGAGTTTAGATAGAAGATGATGTTATTTAGCTGTAAACACTTTTATGGGAGGGAATTTTAGGTCATAGATAAATACCTACATATATCTTATAAAATCGATTAATTATATCGATGATATAAATAATTACAATTTGCATTGTCTGCCTCTTGCACACAGTCCGGGAGACCGTCCTTAAATGACCATAGCTGTTGATAGGACGTTAAACAATACTAAACCAAACCAAACCAACATTGTCTGCCATATTCTTTACTTACCAAAAAGGTATCGAAAACTTTGTTGAAAGTGGCAACATATGTTTTCAGAACATCGATATGGAAGGCCGGGTTTAGAAGACGTCTATTTCTCTCCCATTGTTTTCCTGAGTTCAACAGCAAACCATTTCCTGTTGATATGAAAATAAATATCTATGATATAGTATTTAGTTTACATCATCGGTATTTGACCAGGGTTTTAGATCCGAATGCACTTTATAACTGGTCTTTTTGCAACTTAACTTTTTACGTGCATTTGTCAAACTCGCCTTGTAGCTTCGGCAAAGAGGACGTTCCCTCACTAACTGACAGAGTTTCAAACTAGCACGAATGTCATAACACACGAATAAAGAAACTTGTAATTCCAATTCTGTTAAACAAAAAACCAATCGATCAAGTTTATAGACATTTACTCGAGATCTTTGACAGGATTCCATCGTAGAAGTTCTTTGATGTAGTGCATAAACTATACAGGTATCATAACGTCAACGGGAACCAAGTGGAAACATCATGTGAAAGACCGATTTCGAACTAAATATATTAACTCACCCTGGCAACCTTCTGTCAACATTACAACACTTACCTAACCATGGTATAAACGCAAAATAGCCACCGCCTGTCTGCACGGGTTTAGGTTCGGCTGTCTTCAGAACGACCTTGGCAGTCTCGGGATGACACAAGGAAAATACAGGGTAGAAAAACATTATCCACATACCGGAAACCCTCTTTCCGGTCTCTTTGATACCATTGTTCACAAGGCGGATGTAGTCTATAAAATCTGGCATCTGTGTAGGATAATTAGACGCAATTCAACTAGAGAATCTAACAAAACAAGAAAGGTAATGATTCATTTGAACAATATATAATCCAGACAAGGGAGGTACCATTCAATCTAATATATACACTGAAGGAAATACTTTGTGATCCCCAACAAAAGACGAATCGAAGGCGAAATCAAACCCGTGGACCATGAAACAATTTCAATTCTCAACCATATAATCTGTGCTTTAACTTTTCTAGTCACTTGCCTAATGCATGCAACAATGTCAACTGTATTAGAAACTGAAATGTTCTCTATGTTTCCTCAACATCACTTGAATGTTGAATAATTGATCATTGTACAAGAAATTTGGCCTGAGCAGAGAAACGTAGTTTTAAACATGAAAGTGATTAATTAAACACGGACTCATATGTAACAGGAGAGTGCAAACTTGCAGATCAAAAATTCTATTTCAATAAATTTTATTGTCAAAGGACAAATGGATTGGGCAGCAGGCATAGCCTATTTAAGCCCTTTCCAAACATAGTAACAAACAGTGGTACAAGCATAGACAAAGACATTAGAACTCATACAAACACATATAAACAAGTTGGTATTATCAAATTAATAAATCAAATTAGGGGAAACAACTCCTAATACTCATTTTTATCATAATTGAATCTAATGGTTTATATTCTAACCTTTTATTTTGATACCGAAAATACATATAAAATATATATATATATAAATAAACATATTATGAAGAAAAAAGAAAAATAATTTGTTGATGGAGCTGCATGTATAAACATTTGATGGGATTAAATTACCGCACCCAAGACATACAGGCCAAAAAGTCCATTGTATCACACAAGGCCATCCAATGATGAGTTTGGAAATTCCATCCCACCAAATAGTTTAATTTATGCATATTAAACAAAGGTTAGATATATAATTAACATAATGTAAAGCTTTGTATTCTTATTTATGTAGTTGTTTCCCAATATTTTTTTAATAAAATAATATAACTGGTCTTCTGAACCCCCCCCCCCCCTCACTAACAATATTTAAAAATCAATAATGAAGATAAATAGGAAATACTAATATTAATATCCATGTACCATTTCTGGAAATCAGAAAAAAATACATTGAGAAAAAATAAAATGTAAATAAATAAATAAAGTGTTAATAAATAAAATGTAAAATTTCATTCAAAATTGAAGTTAAATGTCATGAATCTTCTAGAACTTAAAATGTAATTGCAGATAGAAAGGAGAATATGTTTGTTTTCATTTTCATCACATCTCTCACAACCATTAAGCATGGCATCTAATGATAAATAGTTGTGATTTTATGGAATATATTCTGAAAAAGTACAATACGATCTTCAGTGTATTTGATACAATCCTGGAAGTAATGAGATGCTGTTTCAAATCAAAGACCACAAGAACATTGCAGAGGACTCAGTAAGATAATCTTTCTGACGGTCATTGTTTAGGTGACTGGCCTCATTTCTCAACTGACAGAGAATAATATTAGTTTCCCTATTTCCTAAAAACTTAAAGACATCAGTTGTTTTTGTGTTTGAATTTGGAATAGGTGTTATTAACTTTTTGAACTGATAGGCGGAACGAATATTTTGAAGGTCTGAAGCGATATTATTTATTTCATTAAACATGGATGGAAAACAGCAATTAGAATAGTTTACAGTTCGACAAAGAGGAGGATCAAATATTCTAACTGATCTAAGGGGATATCTAGCTAGTGTGGGATCATGAAAATATGACTCAGTGATTTCGTTCAGAAAATATGAAGTTTCATTAATCATAATCTTGTACATCAGCATCATTTTATGTTGTTTTCTCCTACTTTCAAGTGGAACCCAGCCTAATTCTTTGTGCAAGATATTGTGGGGGTGCCTCTACGCAGTCCTGTAATTATTCTAGCTGGACTGCCTCTAAGAGAGTTTTTAGATTTTGTGAACAATCATCCCAAACAACATCTGCATATTCTAGTATAGGTCTAATATGTGATGTATACATTGTGGTTAATGACTGTCTGTCTAGTTTATGTTTCGTCATCCTTCAAATATTAATTCTTTTATATGCTTTTTGGTAAATATAAATGTGGTCATTTCACTTAGCATCATCACTGAATGTCAAGCCAAGATGTTTATGTGTTCGGCTGACAGTAACAGGTTCATCATAAAAATATACAATTGGGTGATGAGTATTCAGTTTTTTAGAGAATGTAACAGATTCTGTTTTATTTGGATTAAATTTAATATTCCATTTATTAGCCCAGAGTTTTATATTACTGAGATCATCTGTTAGGTTTTATGGTAATTCGATAAAAAATCTTTTTTTTTCTTTCTTTTATCTAATCCTATTGCTATTTAAACCAGTAAAGGCTAATACTGAAACTTGGATTTACCTGTTCGTTTTCAGGAGAATGTAGGTAAATTAACTTTATGAAAACGATTTTTATTTAAGGAATAAACTTATTCCCTTTAACGGTTGTTATTTTAAGATAAGAACAAGAGGCCCATGGGCCTTAACGGTCACCTGAGTCCTACAGTATTTATTTTTGTTGTTGAAATATGTTCCAATTTGAGTAAAAAATAGTTAAGTATAACGTTAACTTAACTTTGTCAGGACCATGAGCTGATCATTCCTAGACCGATTTTCAGTGAGATCGGCCTATTAGAACTTGTTTTTAAGTTTGAAATAGGTATTTACAAAATAGCGGCCATGGCAGCCAAATTGGATTTCTGATTGACCCGAAAAATAACAACACTTTGTCAGGACCATGATTCGATCAT